TTCGGAGTTTTAACAGGAAATATTTTTCTTTAGATTCCTTGGGTAGGTAGAGCTCTCCACCCCTGATCTTCTTCCTCTTCCTCCTCATCATCCTTTATGACATATCTAAATACAGAGATACAAGGAGATACAAAGTTTCACCTGGCCCCAGAACCAGCCCCCCTCCTCAAACCAAGCCAGGGATTCAGTATAGTTGGATGTGCTCTTCTGATGAAGATCCAAACTGACATTTTTTTTAACTTTCCAGTTTTCATTTTGTCTCTGTTTCAATCATTTTAAGAGACCAGCTGGTTGTGTAGTGGTTAGAGCTCTGGAATCCCACGTGGCAAACCGGTTTGAGTCCCAGACTTAGCGGCTTGAAACTCACACAAGGCGCGTGCACATGCATGCTCAAAATCCTAAGAGGAGAATGGAGGAGAAGGGCAATTGTGTCATGGCCGTCCCCCCCTGGGGCAGGGGTGATTTTTTGCTTTCTGTCTCTCTATCTCTCTGTCTCTCTGGTGAGTGCACACACCCTATAACACACACACATACAAAAACTGATTCTAAAACTAATTTTTGTTCCTAATAGAGAATTGGGAACATACAATAATATATGAGAAAGAACAGTAGACCCATCACAAGAAGAGAATTCTCAGCTCTATTTGTGGAGACATAGAACACATTCTGCAAGTGACCTTAAAACAAATGCTTCACGGGGCTGGCAGGTGGTTAAGGTGCTGAACTCCCACATGGCTGACTGTGGTTTGAGTCCCGGATCTGGTGGCTTGCTTTCTCACTTTCTCTTTCTCTCTCTCTGGTTGAATTAAAAATTATAATAACAAATAAAATAAAAATAAATAATTCTTCAAAGTTATTTTTTAAAAAAACAAATGCTTCACAAAATAATACTGACACTTTCTTTATACACTCCGATATTTTCTTCTGTTCTGTGATGTACTATGTTACTTCATTCTAACTATTAAAAATGGGAAATTCTGCTCAGGACCTACAATTCTATTGATCATTTCATCAGATGCAACCTGCAGTTTGAAAAGTCATTTTCTCATGTATCCAGTGTGATTTTCAAGCCACCATATCTGGGACTCAGTGTAGTCAGCCATGTGGAATTAGCAGTCTTAACCTCTACACCACCTGCTGGCTCAGTTATTAGCTTTTTGATGAAGCTGCCTTTCTGATTTATGTACTGGACCACCTTACTAAATTTTCCTGTCATTTGCCATCATTTTTCAGTTGGATTCTCTTATTTTCCAGGATGATATTAATACCATCCTCAAATAATGATAAATTTACTTTCACTTTTGGATTTTTATACTTATATCATTTTCTTATCGAATTTTATTGGTTATCTTCATAATAGTGCTAAATTATAATGGGCAAAAGAATGCCTTCATTTTGTTCCAAACCTTAGTGGGGATGCGTCCAGTGTTTTTGTCAATAAATAAAGTGCTGGTTTTTCAGTTGACATAGACATATCATGCTAAAGAAGTATCCCTCTAATCTGTTATTGAGAGTTTTTGTATAAAGCAAGAATGGTTATGGTTATCGAATTTTGTTAAATACCTCCTCAACATCTGTAGGGATGATCATATTTCTCAAGTTTGGTCTAAGAACATGGTAAAATATGTTCATAAGTTTCTGATATTAAACAATTCTTACATTCCTCAGATAAATCCCAGTTGGTCATGTTGTTTTAGTTTTTAAATGAGTTATTAAATTTTATATGGCTATATTTTATTTAGTATTTTTATAATGATATTATTAAGTAAGATTCTTCTGTAGTTGCTAGTTTTGTGCTTTGTTGATATTAATGTTTCATAACCCAAATTTGCAAATTGTACTCTTTTTTTTTTTTTGCCATAGGGTATGTGCATTCACCAGAAATACAGAGAAAGACAGAGAAAGGGAAAATGACAAATAAGTTCCTGGAATGGGGAGGAGGGCCACACTGCAATCCCTTCTCCATTTTTGTCTTGGGATTTGGGCATGCAGACACACACACCCAATGTATTTTTCAAACCACCAGGTCCAGGACTCAAGACACGTAGGATCCAGTGCCTTAACCACCACACCACCTTCTGGCCCCAAATTTTACTTTTTTTTTTTTTAACTTAGA